TAAAAATGCTTTTAAATTTAAAAGATGAACTATTTTATTTATGCCTTTTTTTAAAAGCATGTATTTTATAGCACAGCCTGTTGCATAGTTTATAACATACACATACATAACTCTTTTGTAGTGAAACTCTTGAAGAACAGAAACACATCTTAACTGTTCTTATAACATGATATTTACTAATAATGTTTTTATATATCATAGGTGTCCAATCAAAGCTCAATGACTTCTAAAATTGTGACTATCTTAGTACTGATGATAGTTCAGAAGTGCTTTGCCAAATTAAAGACCTCTTGAATTAGCAAAATAAATATGAGTGTCATTATATATCATACTTGAATATAATGATTCTTCTGATTCATCATACGTAATTACTGATTTAATTTCCAATATGTGAAATATAGATATACTGTCTTTTAAGGAAATGTAATACATAAATGTCTAAAATTGAAAAACAAATAATCATACCTAAATGTAATTACTTCATAAGAATATATATATATATATATTAGGAAGAGGAAGGGAGAGATAGAAACATTGATGAGAGAGAAACATCTCATTGATTAGCTGCTCCTACACTGCCCCCCCCCCCATCACCCCTCGCCCCCATCCCACTAGGGATCGAGTCCATAAAGCAAGGCATATGCTCCGATCTGGAATTGAATCCACCTTTTGGTGCATGGATCATCAGTTCAATGTGGCAGGAGCACCGGCAGGGCCATAAGAGAGTTTCTAAAATATCATTCCTCTCCAGATTGTAAATGGTTGATATAAAGTTAATTATAAAAAATAAATCACAAAGTTTTATAAAAAGTTTATGTTATAAAGAAGCACAAATGTTATCAAGCATTTCAAAAGCATTTGGCATAAGTAAATGGAAAAATACTTTAATTTACAAAAATATGTTTATACACAACTTTTCCAGAATGTCTTTTGTCAAAGGTGGAACAGTATCTCTTCATTTAGGCTAATAGCATACATTTTTACTACTTTAAAAAATACATCCGATAACTTCCCTGGATTAGGTACCTTAAGGGCAAGGGAAGTCTTGTGAACATGAACATAGTCATGACCTTATGACAAAATAAAACAGAGCCTAGAACAAGCTATTTCTGGGTCTATCCTTCCTTGTTGCTTAACTGCTTTGCTTTTCAAATGAAATGTTAATTTAACATGCAGATAAATAAATCTTTGTTCATTAGTTAGCACATGAAATTCAACAAGGATATTCTGTGATTAGGAGGATATTTCTGTTGAACTTATAAGTAGGCAATTCTCGCCGAAACCAGTTTGTCTCAGTGGTAGAGCCTCGGCCTGTGGACTGAAAGATCCCGGGTTTGATTCCGGTCAGGGGCATGTACATTGGTTGCGGGCACATCCCCAGTGGGGGGTGTGCAAGAGGCAGCTGGTCGATGTTTCTCTCTCATCGACGTTTCTGGCTCTCTATCCCTCTCCCTTCCTCTCTGTAAAAAATCAATAAAATATATATATATATATATATATTTTTTAAAAGTAGGCAATTCTCATGCACTCAAAGCGTGAATATTACATGCCTGCTTCTGGCCCAGAAAGCATTAAACAGTGTGGTAAAAATATGGACTGAAATGTAGCAAAACTTTTAAGCTGCCTTGAGTGCTTCCAGGGCTTTGAGCAATCCCTGTTCTAGTTAGGGTTTTAAACCATTAAATTTTGCTGGTGATGTCTGGTCTAGCCCCATACTACTTTTGACACTTATTTGTTTTGGATTCCCTGAGTTCATCTTTGAATAGATTTGCTCCTCTTCCCCATGAAGGAACTGGTGAAATGAGCCAATGTTCCGAAGACAGGTGAGGGTCCTTATAGCCATTCCTCATAAATTCCAAAGTAGCCTACCATCTCTGGATTGTTGGTTTACTGGGCTACTTTACTTCGTGGTCAGCACAATCTTCTTCCTCGGAAGGATGTGGCTACCAAAATACAGCCAATGCAATCTTAGAATTCTAGTCTGATGCTCAGAAAAAAAGAGGTGTAGTGGCCTACTCTAAGCTAGTCAGTCTACACCTGCACGAAACAAGTGAAATACGACCAGATGTGAGGGGACTAGAAAATATGTCATATGCAAAATGTAGCTGGTTGGTATTTCACCTGGAGAAGGGAAGACTCACAGGGATATAATAAACTGAAGTGGAAAATCTTAGACATCTATTATTCCAGAAGGGAAAAAATGGGTTTGGGTTCAAATATAAAGGGGAAAATAATGATCATACCTTAAAATGGAATAAATTATCTTTATAAACAGTGGGTATCAACTTTCTTGGCATGCATGCAATTACTCTCTCTCTCTCTCTCTTTTTTTTTTTTTTAATTGATTTTAGACCAAGAAACATCAATGCGAAACAGACACATCAATGGGTTAGCTCCTGTACATGCCTCTTTGAATCCACAACCTAGGTATGCACTGAGTGGCCAGATTATTATGATCTCTAAATGCATAATAATCTGGCCACTCAGTATATAATTTGGAGTGGCCAGATTATTATGCATTCAGAGATCATAATATATACATATATATTAGAGGCCCAGTGCATAAATTCGTGCATGGTTTGGGTCTGGCCAGCCTGGCCAGTGGGAGCGGACATGGGCAGCTGGCTGGCCTGCCTGCTGGTTGAACTCGTGGTCAAGGGGACAATTTGCATATTAGCCTTTTATTATATAGGATATACACTGAGTGGCCAGATTATTATGTGTTCAGAGGTCATAATAATCTGGCCACTCAGTGTATTCCCTGACCAGAAATGGAACTGGCAACTTTCCATGGCATGACATGACGCTCCAACCAACTGAGCCGCCCAGCCAGGGCTGCTATTTCTCTTCAAAATTACCTTTTTAGATCCCAAATTTATAAGGTCCTATTTTTTCACTCTGTCATATCCTGCTCTTATCTGTAAATTGGTTTAAAAACTCTTTCTTTTCAAAGTTTATCTTTATCTCACATTTGATTATACAGGTTGGTGTTCTTATCAGTTGCTGTAATAAGATTCTTACAAAGATCTTGTTATCTTGAAACATCATGCCTGTACACAGGGTATAATGAGTGTAACAAGATTCCTACAGAGCTCCTGTTTAACAGTTTAATGGCGTATAGTGTTCCTTCTTCTCAGATGGTCAGTAGCTATTCTGAAATTGACAAACTTCTGATGGAAACAAAGTGTTCAGGAAACTGAAGTCTGATAAAATACCACACTAATTTTTGTGTGTGGCTTGAGGAAATGACATTCTTTTATAAAAAAGAGAAATCAACATTTTGCAAGATGTTCAGGCTTTAGTGTCAACCTGTTGCCCTTCAAACTTTAATGTTAGTCTGCATTCTTTATAACTTTAAAAAATCATCATGAACATATCTTGCTGACTTTATTCTTAATACAGAATTCTCAGCTAAGTTCCAGGAGAAACTGAAGTCCTCAATTGAAGTTTGCTGAAATGTACATTATTCTATTCAATTCCTGATCATTATTACCTCTTCACACCAGCATCTACAGAAGTGCATGCATTTCTAAATGTTCTTGCCTGTAAGGTCAGCGCAGCTTTCTGCAACAGCATCCCCTTATTAAAACATGTCTGGAGCCGAAACCAGTTTGGCTCAGTGGATAGAGCATCGGCCTGCGGACTGAAAGGTCCCAGGTTCCATTCTGGTCAAAGGTATGTACCTTTGTTGCAGGCACATCCTCAGTAGGGGTTGTGCAAGAGGCAGCTGATCGATGTTTCTAACTCTCTATCCCTCTCACTTCCTCTCTGTAAAAACTCAATAAAATATACGGTATTAAAAACAAAACAAAACAAAAAACATGACTGGACAATGCCATTTTACAAACAACTTTTTCTGCAGAAATAAAACTTGATTCTTAGGTACCATACAGATATGTAGACCAGTCCTTTCTGCCGGGACAGGGCAAAGGCTTCGTCTCATTGTTTTCAGTGATCTGATTCGGCCCTTTCCCCTGGGACAGGATTTTGTGACCACAGGGATCGGTCCATCCTCTGATCCAGCCTGTATGGACCTCTTGTCCCTCATCATGGTATGGCAATAATATATGAAGAGATCAAGCAAATCCTCTGCTTGCCCTCAGAGAATCCTCTCTCAAATCACCTGCATGGCATAAAAGATTGTCACAATCTGCCCTCTTTTTATTTGTTCACTTTGGCTCCCTTAAGGTTCTACATTCTTTGACTCATGACTTCAGATAACGGCAGGTCAAAAGGTGAAAGGAATGAAATGGAATAAGGTACAAGAAGATATACACGGGAACAAATGCCTGCTGGGAGAAGCCTGAGGCTTTCTGTGCCCCCCCCCCCCCCCCCCAAGAATTCAGTTTCCCTGGGCCACCTTCGTAATGGATTTCCTCACTGAGCTCTGCCTCTCAGTAATATAACACCAACTTCATGGCCGTTCCAATAACAAGTGGCTCACTCCTATCTATGCCAGCAGTCACTGGGATGTTCATATTGGCCATCTTTTACCTCTACAAAGGCATCAACAAGATTGCTCTGACCTAAGGGACCCCATGTACTTATACTCAGGGAGACTTTACATTCTGTTTGTGCCTGGTGCTATCATGTACAAGCCTGATATAATCACCAGCGTTGCCTGTGGTTAGCACCTCTTTCCTTTCTCAAAAATATCTGTTTGGAATGTCAATCACAGTGATAGCCTGCTTTAGTCAGAACCCTCTTTTTTTTTTTTTTTTAATATGTCAAGTCAAAATAGCTTGTTCTAGGTTACCACCCCAGACTACTAGCCAGACAGGAATAACCAGGCAGACCCTAAAGCTATACCTCTAACCCAAATCTTCCCACTACCAAGATAACTAATTGGTCATTTCTCCTTCTTCCTGTTTCACTTTTTTATTTAAATGTCATCCACCCTTAACCCAGAACACCAAAAGGTACATAAACAACCTTTCTTTTTTTTTTGGATGGAAAACTGATTTATTGGTGGGTGTAAGGTGGGGGCAGCACCAAGACTCTCACGAGTGCAGGGCTCGCCATTTGTCCAGGGGACCGCGATTAGGGATGTATTTGACCCCACAGCCATCTGGGATGAGGCGCTTCTCGGCCATCATGTCTTCAAACTCATCCCCGTTAAACTTAGTGAAGCCCCAGTTCTTGGAGATGTGGATCTTCTGGCGGCCAGGGAACTTGAACTTGGCTCTGCGCAGGGCCTCAATCACATGCTCCTTGTTCTGCAGCTTGGTGCGGATGGACATGATGACTTGGCCAATGTGGACTCTGGCCACTGTGCCCTGGGGCTTTCCAAAGGCACCCCGCATACCCGTTTGGAGCCTAGAGGGAGGGCAGCGTGTGAGTTCAGACACGAATGTCCACTGGAAAGGGCTGTATTCAAGGTCCCTTAGGGCAACCCATACTAAGCAACAGGTTGTGTACACTACCAAGGATGCTGCTGTTTGCAGCCATTGCAATAAACTACCTTTCTAACAAAAGAACTTCTTGGACTTAATTCTTTTTGTCAGTGTTTATAGATGTAAACTATGTTGAGACATTCTAAGGCACAAAGGATAACTGACAGGCTTTCTTAAGGAAGTCAAAGTGACCTTCAAATAAGTTAGCAGTGTTACCCAGGGATATCCACACCGGCATGTTGCTTGTCTCAATAGCATTGTCTCCCTACAACCTTTCACCTCTTCAGCATTATGGCCATCAAATTCTACAACATCAAATTCTTCATCCTGCTCAATTCAACACATATCCTTCATGTTAATAAAGTATATTGAGGAATATATAGTTCATGTCATACCAGATTCTTAGATCTACTGGGAGAAAGTCCTGTTCTTCAACAAATGGAATATAAACAGAAGGCCAAGAGCCTGCCACCTCATCTCTGCTGGTCAGTTGTGGTCCTTGACAGGATGATGTAGAGACCCATAATGCTGGGATTTCCACTGTCACCAGGTCTCTATAAAACTCTGTATTCCACTTGGAGGAGGGGGCACTTCTTATCCCCAAGGATCTGACACCCCCCCCCCCCCAGAGAATTCCTGAAAAGACATTTGGCAGGAAGCCTCCATGAGATAAATTTCCCTAGCCTCTGCTTCTGCCTAGCTCTTGCTTCACCCATTGCCTTTGCTTCTCTACAACCCATTTGAGGAAGGCAGGGCTATGTCTTGTTGGTCATTGAACCCCAAAGTTCTGTCACGCAATTAGGCACTAGGCATCGGTTGGGCAACAAACACATTTCTCTCCTCTATAATTTTTAACTCTATTTTCATATGCTTGCCTTAAGGCTTGACCTGAGAAATGGTCTGGAATCAGAGTCAGTAGCCTTGAAGATGATGATGCTTCAGGTTGGGTATAGTCCAATCAAGCATGAGCTGTTGTCTCTAAAAGAGTGATAGAGAGGTCTTGAAGAGAAGCAAGAATCCAACCTAGTATAGAGTCAGAGAGAAATCTTCAGATAGAAGGACCATGCTGTTTAAATGCAGACATGTTCAGGGGCCTAAGGCAAGAGGCTTGCTAATAGTGTTGTATTTTATAAAGCAAGTAGCTAGGGAGCATGCCTGCCTTCCTGGGCACAAACTTAAGGGACTCATGATGTCCTCAATCATCTCTTAGACAGAGGGTTCTATTTCCAAGTACTTTATCTCTAAGTCTGAGTGAGGGAAGGTAAAGAGAGACAGCTGTGTCCTAACAAATGGATTTCTATTTTGAGGGCTTGGATATCAAGAGTGTTTAATCTGATCAGCCTGACACAGGTTAGGAAGGAAGTCTGAAAGCTTAGCAAGTGCTGAGGACTGTAAATTTTTATCACTCTTAGCTGGAGCTATCCATTACACTCATTCACTAGATGGGGACAGGCTTTAGGCAACAGAGCTAGTGAAATCCAATTGGGAGTTCAGTTCCATTTCCCAAAGATAGTTTATGAATGCAGTGGGTGTCAAAGGATCTAACACTAATTTCAGGAGGTGATCCAAAAAGCAGATAAATCACAGCCTCTAGGCTTAAGATATACTCAGAAATACAGACTAACAACTGGTAGGCACTAAGAAATGACAGCAAGAGTGAGACACCAGTTGGGGAAAATTGACTGATACAAGTTGATTTAAGTCATTCAATTGTATGAGGTTTTTTAAAAAAAATATATTTTATTGATATTTTTTACAGAGAGGAAGGGAAAATTAGAGAGATAGTTAGAAACAACGATGAGAGGGAAACATTGATCAGCTGCCTCCTGCATACCCCCGACTGGGGGTGTGCCCTCAACCAAGGTACATGCCTTTAACGGGAATCAAACCTGGGACCTTTTGGTCCGCAGGCCAACACTCTATCCACTGAGCAAAACCGGTTTTGTATGTATGAGTTTATTTATTCATTTTTTAAACTATTACTCATAAATATCTGTATTTTTTCATTAATACATTCTTGCAGTAAATACAGTTGTACATATATTTTGTGCCCATATGTGTATACCAAGCAGTGGAATTGATGGGTCATAGATCAGATACATGTTCAGCTTATGAGGTATTACCAAATAGGTCAGCAATAAGTACTAATTTACACTCCTCCTTGGAGTGTGTATAAATTTCCCTTTCCTTCATCGCTGCCCCAAATGTTTTATCTCACAGTTTTGCTAGACAGAAGACCTAAACTGATATTGCATTTCCCTGCATTTCTCTGGCTACTATTGGACATATTTTAGATGTATATTTACTATTCTGACTCCTGTTTATGGAAATTCCTATTCAGACAATTTTCTCATTTTCTAATGAATTTTTTTGTTTTAAAAATTAGTTTGTATGAATTTATACAGATGGCAGAGAAGCACACAAAATAATGCTTGGAAATATTCATTAATAAGGAAATGCAAAGTAAAACTACAATGAGATACCATAACCTACAAGAACATACCTTAAAAACTGACAATATAAAGTGTGGCAAGGAAGGGAGCAAATATTCACACATCACTGGTGGTAATAAAAATGGTACAGCACTTTGAAAACAGTATGGCAATTTCTTATAAATTTTAACATGTTACTTATCAGATGAGCTAGAAATCCTGTAATGTTTACCTGAGAGAAAGGAATATACATGTTCAGACAAAATTCCTGTACACAAAGTTTTGCAGTGGTTATATTCATAACTACTCCAAATTGAGAACATCCTTATGTCCCTCAACTGATGAATAGATAAACAAACAACAAAAACATGGCATATCCACATAGTGAAACACTACTCAGCAGTAAATATGGAAAAACTATTAATATAAGCAATGAGATGACCTCAAATATTTTTTAGGCTAAGTGAAAGAAGTCAGACTAAAAAGGCTTTATACATATGACTCAATTGAAGTGACATTTGAAAAGGGCAAAAATATAAGGATAGAACATACATAAATGTCAGGATCTAGAGGATCTCGGGGGAAGTGGAGAGGAATTGATTACAAAGAGGGCCTACAAAACTTTTTTTAGATGAAATATCCTATGCCTTAATTGTAGTGCTGAATGCACAACTGTATGCATTTGCCAAAACTCATAGAACTATACTAAAATGAATGTTTTCCTGTTTATAAATTATCCTATATAATAAAGAGCTATTTACAAATGGTCATCACTCCCTCGCGCCCTCACACCCTCGTGCTGTTGCTGGGGGACCCTGGAGGGCTTGACGAGGGTGGGGCCGGCTAGGGCTGGGTCTGTTGTGATTTTGAAGTGCATGCAGGTGGGCAGAGACTTGACTCTGGGTCTTGTGGTGAGCCCCAGACTCTGACAGGAGAGAGATTTTCATATAAATTTTACTAATTTTCTTTCATCTCTAACACTTCTATTATAGAGAAAGGGCAAATAGAAATATTGAAATATTTCCTCTAATTAATTTCCTTTTAATGTGCATGAATTCCATGCACCAGACCATAGGTATCTCAATAAACCTGACTTTAAAATATAAGTTAGTTATAGGAGACACATATATATATAATATACATGATAGATGTACATATACTGTATATCATACATACATATGCATATGTACTAGTGTCATGTATACTAATCCATGGTGATTTGTATGTTTGAAAATATTTTTTTTCAATCTGTTTTGTAACTTTATATGTTTTTTTTATTAAACAAAGCCCTAACATTTTTCTTTAGTCAAATTCATGAATATTTTTTATACTTTATTTAAAAATAATTCTTACCTGACTCAATGATATAAAAATTTTCTCTTGTGTTTTCTTCTAAGAAGTTTGATTCTTAGTTTTAATGTTTGTGTCTTTTATTTATTAAAAATTTATTTTTAGCATGGTATGAGGGAGGGATCTAATATATTTTTACTTCAGTGTGCCCCATACCTCTTGATAAATGGCTGCAGTGCTGGTTCTAGAACCAGCTTGCTAAGGATCATAGCTTAGCTTCTCCCAAGCACTTCTAAGCTCAACACAAGTAGCAGCCATCTGCAGATCCTTTTGAAGCTCTTTCCAGGAGGCCTCAGAACTAGAGCATCCAGTGGACAGCTTCAGACCACACCAAATTACAACTTTGCACATCCACAAGCAGCACACTCAAGGGTCAGACTCAGTGAGCACCAAAGCCCCACTGAAGCAAGTTCTGCTCCATAAGGATGTCTCCTGCATAGCAGCTCTTCCACTGTAGCTGTGGGTGATCCTTACAGCCAATTTGCCTAGGGATCAATTCCTCCCAATGATGCCAACAGCAAGCAAGAATCAACCAAAACAGGACAGTGCTCACAGCCTAGACAAGGGTGCACCTAGAGGGCTCAGCTCAGGTGACTGGGGAGGCTGAGCCACTGGGTCCTACAGGACTCCTACTGCACAAAACCATTCTACCAATTCTAGGAGTCATAGCAGATCTAACTAATGTAATGAAACAAACACAAGGTAGCAGCAAAAATGTGGAAATAAATATGTCACAAATGAAATAAAAGAAATCTTCAGAAAAAGATCTAAATGAAATGGAAGCAAGCAAACTACTAGATACAAAGTTCAAAACAATGATTATAACGGTGCTTAAGTAACTTAATGAGAGCTTCAAGGCACTTAGTGAGAATTTCAAGGACCTTAGTGAAAACATCAAAAACATGAAAAAGGACCAGTCAGAAATGAAGGATACGCTACCTGAAATGAATAATTTACAAGGAATCAAAAGTAGAGTAAAGGATGTTGAGAATCAAATCAGTAATCTAGAATATGAGGAAGCAAAAAACATCCAATCAGAAGAGCAAAAATAAAATGGAATCCAAAAATACGAAGAGAGTGTAAGAAGCCTCTAGGACAACTTCACTTGATGGGGGTGTAGGAAGGAGA